CATTCGCTTCTTTAGGCTTCGGATCTTTGGAGTCTTTGGGCTTCTGGCTGGATGAAGGTTGCTCCTTTTGGGCTTCCCCCTTCTTCTCTGCCTTCTTCTTGTCGTTCTTGTCTTTCCCTTCCTTTGTCTTGGCTGGCGCTGCTTGGGACTTAGTTGCGGATTGCGTGTACACCTGATCGATCGACACGACATTTTCATCTAGCTGATGAATCTCGATGATTTCCCCGAGCTTCGCGTAAAGCCAAGGCCAAGTCCTTTTACTGCTGTTTGGACTGGCGTTCCTGAAACGGTCGATCACCAAAGCCATTTTTGGATGTCCTTTCAATTGCTCGAAAAGGGTGCTCCTAATAGCTTGGTCACTCGGTCTCTCGGAAACTTCCAAGGCCTGGTACACGAAGTCGAATCTCTGACGGAAATCTTCGAGTGCCTTAATGTCGGTGCCGCTCATCTTGAGGCCTAAGAGATGGGTTTGAGTCAAGGCAATTCCCCTATCCTTCTCCATCTTAAACCTCTCAAAGATGACCCACAACAACTTCCGCCCCTTTGGCTGCTTGAAGACCCGTTGCTCTTGCTCCTGAATGGATTGGAAAAGCATGGCAAACTTGGTGTTCTTCGACAGCTCAAGCAGCTTTGAACCCAACACTCGATCAAGAATTGGAAACGGAAGGCTCGACTCGAGATCGGCTTTGGGATTAGTGCTTTCGGCGATCCAGCTATGGATTAAGGATTCGTCACCCTTTGCAAGCCTACACACAAGGTTGAAAACCGAGTTCCTGAATAGGCGAGCGTCTGCCGCCGTTTTGGGCAGCTGAGGCAACTTCATCTCATCATATGCCTTCACACGCATGAGTTTCTTTTCCCTTGAGTAGGCATCGATTGCCGCGTCAATTTGGGCCATTCCCTGATTTCCTTGAGGGGGAATTGAGGGGCCCTGAGGAGGTCTTTGCGAGCCTCCTGGCGAACCTCCTGGTCTCCCGCCGCCTCCACCCTTGTTGGATTCGCTTGATGAGCTATCCGAGTGATCTGGCGACCCAGGATTTGAACCATGCTGTGAACCATTTTGCGATCCACCCCCCGACTGCCCTCCCACAGATCCTATGTTGAAAATCTGAGGGACCTGCCCTGTTCCTGCCTGATGAATTTGCGGCACAGTTTGAGCGGCGGCAGTCTGGGATGCAAATAGCTCAAAGGCTGATGTGAGTTGATCCAAACGCCTTTCTAATGCACTTAATCCCGGATTCGGTGCAACTGGAGAAGAATCCCCAAAAATGTTTCTCACAGCACCTGATAAGTCCCATGATGAAGCATTTTGTGCACTGATTCCGGTGCCCTGAGGCATCACGGGGCTTGCCTGATGTGAACCATTGCCATGCGCTATCGGTTGGGGGTTTCCGGTGCCCTGCGGCATCACGGACCCGTCCTGCACTGGCTGGCTGGTGCCCGAAGGCATCACAGCAGGATGCCCACTCGCCTGCAGTGGCTGATTATCCGCGCCATTATGGATGCATGCCAATTCCCTTTTTAAGGATTGATTTTCGGCCTCAAGAGAATTCAACCTTTGCTCCATTGCTAGCAATCGGTCTGCCAACTGTTGCGCCCTCTGCGTTGCTTCGGCCTCCCTAAGTTGGTGTTCCCTAATCTGGTCACTTGTGCCATGCTGGGTCCTCGTCAAGGCATCTTGGAGTGCCTGAACCTGTGTGTTGGCTTGTGATTCCAAATAAAGGACTCGCTCCTGGGCTTGTCTCAATTGGTCCCCCGATTCATGCTTGGTCCTTTCAAGTGATTCCTGAAGGGCATGAACTTGATTGAAGGATTGGCTTTCCAATTGATTTACCCTATCCCTAGCCTCGGCCATTAAGCATTGAGCTTGGGCTTCAGTGACAACCAACCTCCTATCATTCTCTCTCAAATGCGCTTCAGCTCTTTCGACCAGTTGTTGATCCAATGATTGAACAACCATGGTCGGCTGGTACACTTGGGTGTGATGAGCTTGAGCGTGCATTTCAACATTTGGGGAGAAATGATGATGCTGATGCAACTGAGCACTTTGCATGTTGATCCTACTTCCCATCGGTTGGGATGATGCCGTGGACATGCTAGTGTCTTCATGACTATTACTGGAGTCTGCGACCTGCGGGGGTGAAAACATCTGTACAGATCCCTGAGCAGCTGGAACTATTTCTGATGGCTCCATTGCTTCTTGAAATTGGTCGGACAGGAAAAGCTACTGACGCAATGCCTGCTTGCACCTTGCGGCGCACTCCGGCCAATGGGCCACACAATCCTCAAGAAATCCGACTGGCCTAAACAAATTGTTGGCCGGTGGCTTTCTGCGAAGCTTGATGTGAATGCCCGAGATCTTGTCCTGTACCTGGCGATCGATGATACTGTTGATGACCTCGTCACTGTCGTCAACGATGAATGCCGAGCGGAATCCAACTGACAGCAGATCCTGAAGGACTAGCACCTTCCCACCTTTCTGGGTCCTGGGATTGAAACTGGCCCTCTCAGAAGTTGTAACGATGAAGTCAAAAACTGATGAGATATCCGGAGTGCGATTGAACGCAGCAACCAATGCGTCTCGGCGTTCTTGGCTATGGAGGTAGGATAGGCAGATTGTCACAACGTGGATACCTTCGCGAAAGAAAGCGGCTTTCAGCTGTCTAATCGCTTCGAGGTTGTCGTGGCAAATACCTTCGTAATCCCACTCTGTGCGTCCGCAACGGGCTCTGTCAAGAACCTGGTGATAGTCGATTGCAACCACGCAACTGTCCCGAAAGTCAATGCCGTAGCGCGGCTCGTAGACAAAGGACAATCCTTGATCTTCCCAATTGCTGTTCACACACTTGAATACTCCTGTGGCAAGAGTCAAATCACAAATCACCGCAGCGAAGTGATGCCCGGAAGGCTCAGCGCGCCTCGGCGTACGTGAAGTGCTCTCTGGCCTCGACGCAGCTTTGCTGGTCGCCTGGAGCAATCTGTGCTGCACAGGCTCCGCAGATGACGATGCAGGCTCTTCGGCTCGGAGCGACTCGCGCTGCACAAGCCTAAGAGGAGCAGACCGATCCGCTGCCTTCACAACCCGAAAAGACACCCGATGATTCTGGGGCTCCTCAGTCAGACGCTGTTGCTCGTTCCAAAAGGCCTGTTCGTAGAGCTGTAGCTGTTCCCAGTTGACTTTTGCACGTGCAAGCCTGTCCCAGGTGCTATCCAGCACAAACGGAGGTTCGTTTGATAAAACCCCCTCGGCCAATCCGTCACGTAGTACACCAAGTTTCTGTGACTTGCCTCTTCGTCCGGCTCGATGCCAACCGAAGAGATTCCACAGTTCCGGTGCCACTCCCGGATGCTCGACGCCCTCACCCGCCGTAGCTATCGGTCGCAGCTCAAAAGCTACGGCTGATAACCAGACGAAATACGGATCAAGACAATTCAAGTAAAGAGTATGCCCAAAGTGCTATGGCGGCACCGGAAGCTTCACTCGCACAACCTGTTTTGCCTTGAGCCAAAATGTACAAGTCATCCAAGGCGAACTGACTGTTTCTCATCAGTGTCAACCCTGGAAACTTGATTCAAAGGAAAGTTCAAGCAAACATGAATTCCGGGGGCAAGGTTGAATTAGACATGCATGCACCACCTACCATCAGGAAAATGTGGATTCCAGCAGGGGGCATTCTTCTGGAGATCCCAGAAACAAAGGAGCCCCCGCACACGGTAAGGGACCTGCGTCATGGGGGAGCTTGCTTTAGGCGCGGGTAGGCACCCGCGCCTGCACGAGCCTGTGTGTTCCTGGTGCAAGTCAGTACGACACTGAAACGTCATTTGCATGGCACGGTATCGACAACTGTGCAGTTGGCCAACGTCACCGACGTGGGCGGGGAGGATAATGGCCCTCACGTGTGAGAAAGCGCCAAGGGATTGCAAACTCACAAAATGCGCAACAAGCTAGGCAAGCTGTGTCAGGCCAGGCATTTGGAATGCCTGTAAGTCCTTGGTTGCATTTGGGCATGGCAAGCTGCAGCTTTGCCCCTTGTAATGTTGAGTATGGAAGACGCCTAGCAAGTCCATATCATGAAAATTCATTACTTTGCTCATATCATGAAGGGAGCGGTGGCAGCCAAATATGGGACCCTTGCGTTGTCCCCCCCCCCAAAAAAAAGGAAAGAAAGAAAGAAAGAAAGAAAGAAAGAAAGAAAGAAAGAAAGAAAGAAAGAAACAGAGAGAGAGAGAGAGAAAAAGAAAGAAAGAAACAGAGAGAGAGAGAAAAAAAAGAAATAAAGAGAGAGAGAGAGAAAAAGAAAGAAAGAAAGAAAGAAAGAAAGAAAGAAAGAGAGAGAGAGAGACAGAAAGTAAGAAAGAGAGAGAGAAAGAAAGAAAGAAAGAAAGTAAGAAAGAGAGAGAAAGAAAGAAAGAAAGAAAGAAAGAAAGAAAGAAAGTAAGAAAGTAAGAAAGTAAGAAAGAGAGAGAGAGAGAGAAAGAAAGAAAGAAAGTAAGAAAGAGAGAGAGAAAGAAAGAAAGAAAGGAAGGAAGGAAGAAAGAAAGAAAGAAAGTTTAAAGAACAAAATAAATAAAGAAAGTGCAGAGTCTTGAGAAAAAGGAACACTTTGAGCATCTGAACGCTGAAGATAAACAAGGCCGAGTCATTGGCATTTTGAATATCAACAATGATCAGCTTATAAATGAAAGTGCTGACTCTCGTGCAGCGGCTTGTTGGTGGTTGTTTGTTTGTAGTTGGTCAATGGTCCTCTCTGCCCAAAAGGAGCTTTGCTGGCCGCTGGTTCAGGGAGAAGTGAATTAGCAGTCCGAAGGGTCCATTCTTGTGGGCAGCCCTTCAAACTAGAAGGGCTTTTTAGGGCGGCATGAAGGGTGGATTCCACTCAACAACCTGGAACCTTCTGGCCTTGTCTTATTGGGAAAGACATTTGTGTTTTGGAAAAAGTCAACGACATAATTGATTTGGGGTCGGGCCACTTCCCCTCCGAGCCCCTCCAGCACCCCGCCTTGCGAGCACGGCTCACGCTGGCCTGGAGTCATTGTTAGACCCTCCCAGACTCCAAGAGCCATGTCCGTGGAAAGCTGGGGTGGTAAAGGGAAACCAAAGGAACCCCAACCCATGTTCTGCGCCCAGGCTTGAACATCTTTAGGAACGGCTTGGTGCAACCCTGGATTCCAAAATGAACATATATCTTGGGTGAGAAGGTTCCACGATTGTGTTCTTGAAGGAAAACTGTGTTCGATATGTGCGATCCTTCCCAGAAGGGACATCCATGGATGCGCGAAATCCTACCCTGGAATCATGATTCCCCTGTAGCCACCAACAAACAATGGATTCAACCACGGCTTTATTTGGTGGATTTCGCAACCATCCACAGTAGGTAGTGTCAACCCCTCATTGATAAACGGCTCGCTCCACTGTGATCAAGCGGAGTGCCCGGGCCATTTCCCCACACGAAGAACCAGCCATTGCTGCGGAAAACAAAATAAGCGACCTGAAATCAGTGAAGTATCCCGATTGTTCCGGAAGAAAAGTTTCAGGCAAGTAACCAACAAAAGTGCAAATCCTATGGAATATGGGTGTGTCTTCAACTAGGAGAACCTGCAAAACCAGTGGCTTTCCCTAAGGTTTCCCTTTGAGCCGAGCCAAAAAGCAGACGCCCTCTCCACAGGGATCCTTGCATGAAAAACACCTGAACATTGCAATTGTACATGGTGGTGTCCAACTCTATTTTGTTGAAAAAGCAACATGTAACTCAAATGGTTGCAAGGTAGATCTTTTAAGGAGCCCTGCTCCACCAGAGACGGAGTCCAGAGGCCCCGGCGCCCAGCGCTGCGGCGCCCAGCGCCAGTGCCTCAGGGCGCGTGGGGTTCTAAGGGAAAAACCAAAGGGAAAACCGGTAAAGCCGCTTTTGGGGACCACACCCCTTACCCTGAACAGGGGTGTTGGTCCCCCCTGGCGGGAACGACATCCATTAGCCCCTGAACCGGGGTGTGCAATTGTGCCCTATCTTTAAGGGAAAACAGCGCAGGCGGCCTTCGAAAGTGAGCCTCTGTGATGGTAGGGACATGTATGGATCCAGGTTCAAGGCATCCATGGCTTAGCATTCACCCGGTGGTTTCTTCAATTGAGATCCACCACCCCCGCTCCCCACCACAAGGTGAGAAAGAGCGGGTCGCCCGGACGGGCAAGCATACATGTGGCCGCATTTACTGCTTGTGCCGATGGACCCCTAAACATGACCGTTGTCTTTGCATTGCTCTTGACATGCAAAAGGGCCTGTGGAATGCCTGATTGAACCTTTCAGGGTGGGGTATCCTGTTCTGGGCAACTTCTATTTCACCCAACCGAACCTAAGGGATCCCTACTGTAAATGGACAAGATCCTGCACCACCTAAGAATCCCTGGAATGATTCACCCGCAAATACCAACAAACAATGGTTTCAATCATGTCCATCCACTGTATTCATCCGACCGAATCTGAGGGATCCCATTGAAAGAAGCATTCGACATGGGTGACGTCCAAAACCGAGTCCCTAGAATTTGAGACAAAAATCTAAGCCTTCGGCCGCCATGGAGGACCCACTGGAGCTCGAGCTCTGAGAGCTCGCCTACCGGCTTGGCACGATGGGAGGGAGGGAAGCATTGTGTTCCAAGTGAATCCGCATGGGAGTGCGGGGATTGGAGGTATGGTAGTGATGTGAAAAACAAAAACATACAGAATTCATGTATGTTCAGAAGAACCCCTTGGCACAACTCTAACTCAAGAAATCGATCAAGTTGTTGTTGTTTTTTTTTTCATGATGCCTACTTTCAAATGTTTTAAAAGAGGAAGACCCAAACAACAAGCATCATAAGGTAACAACTATCAAGATAACAATAATACGGAACGATACTTAGAAACTAGTTCGAACAGAAACAAAGATCACACTACGAACAACTATGGACATTACTATAAATACAATTCAACAACTACACGTCTAATCAGCAATACACTCAACATGATGGAACGGTTCTAAAGGCCCACCATCGCAAACCCCCTTGTCAAAAACGAGCAAGCTTGAAAATTAAGTCGCGTTTGTCACGGTGTAAAAAACATAAACTTCCTTGGACCTCCAAAGGCAGCTCCCCAGGCTAGAGGCGAGCTCGGCATGGAAGCCAAGCCTCTAACAGGCGAGCAGAGTTGAATCTGTTTGGCACGCAAAATATAATTCTCCGGGCTGACTCGCAGCGAGAATTCGGGGAAACGAGATTTCCCAACTGCAGGCGAGAAAGGGAAATGGAAGCCAAGGCCTGGGCTCAGCCATAGGGTAGTTGCCGAGGGAAAAAAAAAACAGGAAGCCTATATGCATAGGTACGGAGAGCACTAAGAACAGTTGCGACGAGTTTGCACGCATCTCAGCACCCGATGCATCCGCCTCATTCAATCCTTGCAGCAGGGAAGCTTGACCATGGGACCATGGGCACCAAAAGCTCAATCACTCTGGCAGAAAATCATGCAACTGAGCACAAACTGCTGCCACCACCGCCACTTACATACCTGAAATAGACCGCGCCAGCCTCAATCCATGAACCAAGTCATGCTTGGTTTTGGGCAGGGAGATGCGACCTTGCTGGGAACAGCGCGGACCATGGGAGCAAGCATGCACAACACATGGCACCCGATCGAGAGATACTATGCAGCGCCATCACCATGGATCTGGAATCGATTTGTGCGTACCACCCCAAAGGCTAGTGAATCACACAGCTTTTGAACACCACCAAATTTTGTACCTTTTGTGGGAGGATTGAATGGAAAGCCAAAGAGAAGCCACATAGGAACTCGGGGAGGTCACAGGTATGTTTGGAAGTCTGATCCAGCCCAAGGACCTCCATCTCGGCAACAAAAAGTCCAGGGCGAAGCTTCTGACATAAATTAAAACTCGGATTGGGATGCGACTGAATTTGGTTTAGGGTTTGGGGTTTGGGGTTTGGGGTTTAGGTTTTAGGGTTTAGGGATTGAAACTCTCCACCCGTGTCCAATGCTGCAGGCTATCCCGTGTTTTTCGAAAAGAACTCAGTCCGTGAGGTCAAGGCATGGAATCGAGTCACCACCCCGAGGAGCTTTCGCCATGCGTTCAGAATGCCCAATGACAGGTACATGTTGCGGCGTGTGTTTTTGAAGAGGTATCCGTTTCTTGGGAAATGTGTAAATGGAGATCAGGAAGAAAAGAAGAACACCACCCCGCTTTCGAGGCGCCCCCTGTTCTGAGAAATGGGGATGTGGAATCCAGAAAGTTGTGGTTTCACAAAAAAGAGAAATGAGCGAGCGATGCCTCTTCCGCGACGAAAACCCTTACTTTCCCTGAAAGCCCGAAAGTCACTTTGCCCGCGGCCTTGCCCTGAGCACCATCCTGCCGCGGTCAACACATGCGACACTAAGGACGAGAGAGGCGAAATATGGGAACCGAGGCACAAATCCCGTTCAGCAAAAACCATAGGCCCCCAATTGGCGATTTGCTTGGGGGATTGAACCCCTGTGTACGGGAAAAGTCGGAAACCACCCCGTAAACAACCAAACCACAAACTAGGGTCACTTGCCCAGTGGCTCTTCTCTTCTCTTCATGGATGCTTCTAACACGAGCCCCGCTCACGATAACAAGAAGCAACGGCACAGCTGCACAAGTCACAAGGATCCAAACAAATTGGCAAAAAAAACATTGGCTTGCGCTCTTGCTTTGTGAGTGTGTGGGAAATAAGGGCCTAGGATTGCATTTCGGGGTTAGGAGAATTCGGGTTTCATGGTCAGGAGAATTAAGGTTCGGGGTTAGCTCCGTGTTTGTGGAAAGGGATCTCCAAGTCAAGGACTTTCATGGTGCCCTCGTGTTCCCTGATTCAGTGAGGCTCGCCAGTAGGCGAATGTTGGTGAACAAAGACATGCAAACATACAGACGGCTTTCTTGTTCTTTGGGGTGCCCCTTCTGAGGTGGATTTGCAGGGGAAGCAACCAATTGCCAGTTTTGCTCCAACCTGATGTGCGTGTGTGTGTCTTTTTGGCCGTTCTAAATGGAAGCTAAAGGAAACTCCATTATTTTTAGTGACCCTCTACTCTAAGACGCTGCAACTATATCATGGTTAGAGTTAGGCCCAGTTATAGAATGTATCTTTATTCTTTGCTTCACTTTGAGACTCTGGCGAAATGCAAGATGTATCCTAAGTCTAGACAGGATATGTCTCTAAAATCATCTCCCCCCGTCCAACAAGCCACGGGGCCCATCCACCCAACGCACCGACCATCCCCCCACCTTCAGCTGTGGCTGGCGCGGTGCTGAAGGCTGTGGCGCCACGAAGGCGGTGGCCGTCAAAACCTGGGAGGCAGGGGAAGTCTCTCTGGAGCAAACATGAGCGGTTTTGAGAGCGCAACTCCCTGGAAAACAAGCCCAAAGAGACAGGAACTTCAAAGGGCAACAGGAAAATCAACATGTTCTTGTCGTTGTTGTTGTTGTTGTTGCTGTTGCTGTTGCTGGTGCTGCTGTTGCTGGTTGAGCCGCCCCCAGCAGGCGCGTCACGCTTACTGTCGCACTCTTAGCAATCTCCCACGCCTGCCACGCGGGCTACAAATCGCAGTTGCAGATTTCGTCCACGAAGGCGTTCCTTTCGCTCGTTCCGCGTCAACTTTGATGTCACATTCTTAGATATCCGCCATGCCTGCCACGCGCACGTCGCTCAAATGCACCCATGCCTGGCACATGGTAGGCACACCCGCCCACGCGCATGTCGCTCAAATGCACCCATGCCTGGCACATGGTTAGCACACCAGCCCACGCGCAGGTCGCTCAAATGCACCCATGCGTGGCACGTGGTAAGCACACCCGCCCACGCGCGCCTCGCTCAAATGCACCCATGCCTGCCACATGGTAAGCGCACCCGCCCACGCGCACCTCGCTCAAATGCACGCGCTCGTCGTCTTCTTCTACGTGGTCTTCTTGCTCTACGTGCTCGTCGTCTTCTTCTACGTGCTCTTCTTCCTCTACGTGCTCGTCGTCTTCTTCTACGTGGCCTTCTTTCTCTATGTGCTCGTCGTCTTCTTCTACTCGTCGTCTTCTTCAACGCGGTCTTCTTCTTCAAAATGGTCTTCTTCCTCGTCTACGTGCTCTTCTTCGCCTGCGTGCTCTTCGCGTGTCTTGGCGTCCTCTTTGTGCTCGTGTGCCTTGGCGCTGGTTGTTTGTTTGTTGTTTCTTGTTTGTTGTTGGTTCTTTGTGTTTCTTGCTTGTTGTTGGTTCGTTGTTGTTTTCTTGTTTGTTGAGGTTTCTTGGTGGGTTGTGTTGTTGCTGCCCTTTCATGGTGCTGAAACGGACTTGTCGTTTTTTGGACCCTTGAAAACCAAGCGTTTCGCTGAGGCGAAAACACGATGGAAGAAGATTCTATGTGCCCCGCCACCATTTTCACACACTTGAAAACAAAGATTTAGATATCCAAGCCGCAAAAAAAAGCTGATTTTTTGCATGGTCGGACTTAAATCACCGAATTTCTGCGGGCAACCCTTGTGGGGGCGGCTGTACAGCCGACGGCCTTGTTGTTGTTGTTGTTGTTGTTGTTGTTGTTGTTGTTGTTGTTGTTGTTGTGGTTGTTGTTGTTGTTGTTGTTGCTGATGTTGATGTTGATGTTGTTGTTGTTGTTGTTGTTGTTGTGGTTGTCGTGGTTGTCGTGGTTGTCGTGGTTGTTGTTGTTGTTGTTGTTGTTGTTGTTGTTGTTGTTGTTGTTGTTGTTGTTGTTGTTGTTGTTGTTGTTGTTGATCTTGATGTAGATGTTGATGTTGTTGTTGTTGTTGTTGTTGTTGTTGTTGTTGTTGCTGTTGTTGTTGGTTGCTGTTGTTGGTTGTTGTTGTTGTTGTTGTTGTTGTTGTTGTTGTTGTTGTTGTTGTTGTTGTTGTTGTTGTTGTTGTTGTTCTTGTTGTTGTGGGTGTCGTTGTCGTTGTCGTTGTCGTTGTCGTTGTCTTCGTGGTCGTCGTGGTCGTCGTTGTTGCTGTTGTTGCGGTTGTTGCGGTTGTTGCGGTTGTTGCGGTTGTTGCGGTTGTTGCTGTTGTTGCTGTTGTTGCTGTTGTTGCTGTTGCTGTTGGTTGTTGTTGGTGTTGTTGTTGTTGTTGTGGGTGTCGTTGTCGTTGCCGTTGTCGTTGTCGTCGTCGTCGTCGTTGTTGCTGTTGTTGTTGTTGTTGTTGTTGCAATTGTTGCGGTTGTTGCGGTTGTTGCGGTTGTTGCTGTTGTTGCTATTGTTGCTGTTGTTGCTGTTGCTGTTGCTGCGGTTGTTGCTGTTGTTGTTGCTGTTGCTGTTGCTGTTGTTGTTGTTGTTGGTGGTATTGGTGGTGTTGTTGGTTGTTGTTGGTTGTTGTTGGTTGTTGTTGGTTGTTGTTGTTGTTGTTGTTGTTGTTGTTGTTGTGGGTGTCGTTGTCGTTGTCGTTGTCGTTGTCGTCGTTGTGGTTGTTGTTGTTGTTGCTGTTGTTGAGTTTGTTGTTGGTTGTTGTTGGTTTTGTTGTTGTTGTTGTTGCTGTTGCTGTTGCTGTTGCTGTTGCTGTTGCTGTTGTTGTTGCTGTTTTTTT